ATCTTTTTATGAAACTCATTGCTCATAAAAATGAAATATATACATGAATAAACTCTCGGATTTACTAGATTTTTATCACAATTTTTTTTTTTCTTATGTTTTCATCAAATTCAAATGTTACCTAACTAAATGCGTTTGACATTGATTTCGCACATTTCTCGCCACGTTCTATATCGCCATATTATGTACTATAATGTCACTAACAATTTTACAACGTTGACTCTATTGTAAATTTTATCGAAACAAAAAGTTAGTCTTACCAATAAGCTTCTAAACCACGAAAATGATCAATACGAAGAACATCAACTGTTTTCAAACATTTTTTCAAACGTCTTGTCCACCAATCGAAATTTGTTTTACGTAGATTTCCAGTCCAATCATAGATCCTAAAAAACTAGAGATTATACATCTTTGTTTTTATCTTCAATCTAGAACAACTACGGATTATTCCATAATTGTCCATGGCGCTCTATTGAATCAGGCGGAATACCTGAAATAAATCAAATAAAATGTTTGTGGATTATATTACAAATTTACCTGACACTACTCTCGGTAATGAAGTTGTTGGATCAAGTTGAAATAGTGACTGATTTGCCTAAACATCTGCACTATCATAATCAACATAGAGAGGCATGTCTTGAAAGAAATAAATTCTTCTTTAATATTTTAAAATTAATAATTTTCTTAGAATTTTTTTACCACCAAGAATTGTAATTTCATGTTGATTAGCATACCGTTTTAATTGATGCCATTGTTGAAAAAATATATATTGAAGAAATCGATGTTGATCAATAGCGTCTGCATGTTCATGTCGCTTTTGTTCTAAAACTTTTTTATCATATTGTTTTAATCCTTGTGGCCATTTTGACCATGTTTGATTATTTTGTTCAGCTTTAATTGCCATATAAAGTGTATAATCATCAAGCCAATAATGTTCTTTTTTAGCGAATGTATCAATTTCATTTTTAAGTTTTCCTAAATAATTTTGTTTATAATTATTATATGCTCGATTCAATATATTAGGTTTCCATTGAAATACTTTATTATGTTCAATTCGATCACCAAATGTTGGTCGATTTGATTCAATATCCGACTGAACAAGTAGACCATTGTCAACTAATTTTTCTAAACTAATCAATAATGGATTACCGGCAAATGCTGATGTGCCAGAATATGGTGACGGTTTTTCACTGGCAGTTAAAGGAAGAATCTATATAATAAAATAGAATTTCAATGCTGGCTTTAATATTCTTTTTAACCTGCCAAACTTTTTGATTACATTTATATAGGAAATCGATAAATTTATAGGCTTCATTACCAATATCGCCAATACCATTTGGTCCAGGAAGGCTAGTAATATGGGCAAGAACACCAGATGCACGATTAAGTTTTATCATTGTGATAAATACTCGATAAAAAATATAAAATACATTGATCTGAAATAAAATAAATATTTTGGTTTACATTTCCAGTCTCTTTCTGCAATTTTCTTTTCTCTTTATGTTTCGGTGCACATGAATTCAATTGAATCCTCTTTTTCTTTACTCTTCAACGAATAAGCCATTTATATTTAATACATGTCTATCATATAAGAATTTGACAAGTAACTAGACGACCTTCAAGTTTCATTCGATTACGAAATTCGGTGTGGAACTATGAATATTGAATACCGAAGAAAATCGATGCCCCATAAAAATGAATAATCTTTTTTGTGATTTATCTCAAATAGACTTTATTCGTACCTAATGACATTAACATTATATTAGAATCAGGTTTGATGCTTTTACACTCGGAGACCCCAACTCATAAGATTGGTGACAGAACGAAAAAAAAAGTTGATGGATCAAATTAAAATATCCAACAGTTAAACGAAATAAAAGATGACGCTTATTTTTCTTTGAACTCTAAATTAAAGAGACACAAGAGTGCGGATGAAGAAGATGTCCACAATCCACACTCGGATCCCACATTCATACTCGAATCCTTATGCCACTGTACTTAAGAATTCACACAAAAATAAGCGTCATCTTTTATTTGGTTTAGCTGTTGGACACTTTAATTCGATTCATCAACTCTTTTTTTCTCATTCTATCACCAATCATATGCGTTGGGTTCTCAAAGTGTAAAAGTACCTCAAGCTTTTATTCTTTTGCTACGGCTTTGAAAATGCACATTTCAATGAATCAGTTGATCGAAGTTTGAAAGAATTTGTAAAGTAATCATTGAAAAAATTCATTACTAAGAGAACTCAATCGACAACGATCAACATGCTTCTAATGGAGACTATTGATTAATTTGCTTGATTCTCTCTATAATATATTATCTAGCATCAGCTATACTCATGATTGTCTCAGATATGACCTTGTTGGCAATAGAAAAATAATTTGGTATGACTTCACAATTCTATTGGCATACATCCATACTTAACAGACACATACACCAATCAAAAAGTTAGATTGCACCACTATGTTGTAGTTGGAATACATAAATGCAATGCACTTCTACAAAAGCAAATATTACATTTTTTGTTTGTGGATGGGTGCGGATGATTGTGATTCATAGGCGCACCCATACGCAAATTTTAATAACTGTAGAAATTAAAATATTAGACCATTTTATAATTTTTGTTTTGATATTACAATACATTTTCTTACTTTCTTTTTGTAAAAATATATCCAAGCAACTATTTATTATGCTACAATAAAATATTTATATGATTTGAAATCTATAATAACTATAGAAACTCGAGTTAATGTTGAAAAAACAACCTGTATAATTCTGTGGGTGATATTGAAACATGCTTAATTTTTAAATTATTTTCTTGATCTACTCTTGGAAATATTGATTATCGTTTTGCAAAAAGTCTACAATATAAATTTTTTCCATTTTTTTGGAGAATTAAAACTAAACAACCTGACATTTTAGTACACCCGAATATTTTTTCTAGTCATGTCGGTGTGACGTGTCCAGTCTAAGTCTGAAAAAGTCCTCGTCCTGGGGTGGTCCCGAATGGGATGTCGATGTGTGTATAGATGTGGATATGAGTGTGGTAAGAGGGAAAAGGCAGATTTTTGTGCCGAAAATCTTTCGAAGCCTTTCAGAATCTCTGTAATCTTTGAGAATCTCTTGGAATCTTTCAGAATCTTTGGAGTCTTTCGCAATCTTTCTGAATCCTTTGAATTCTTTTGGAATCTTTTGAAATCTTAAAATAAGGCGTGTTACTATTAGGAGTGTACAGCTCACGCCCATGAGCTGCTCATTTGAGCATTAGCGCTTCTTCTATAATTCAATTGTGCGAGTCACCTATAAGATTCGATCCATTTTCGCTTGTGTTCATTAGAGCTGTATAGTTCAACTGCATGAGCATTCCTCACCCTGAACTATACATCCTCACTATCGATCGATCAGATTCAAGAGAGCTAGTCCTCACATATTGTAAGGGCAAAACATACGATTGTTCGGGTTATACAAAAGAGGACCCCAGGTAATCCTATGATTAGCCTGAACAACCCAATGTTCTACCCTAATAATAGTGAAAAAAAGCCGTACTAAAATCTGATTAGTTGATAATCGACAAATGAGATTTGAGGAAGCTGTTTCTTCACTATTGTAAGGACAAAACATAAGGTTGTTTGGGTCATATGAAATTAGGTCCCGGATAATCCCCTAATCGGCCCAAACAACTCCATGTTTTGTTCTTACAATAGTGAGGAAACAGCTTCCTCAAATCTGATTGGTCAATTATCAGCCAATTAGATTTTAGCACGGTTTTTCCCTAGTATTAGGGCAAAACACAGGGTTGTTCGAGCCAATATTAGGATTATCTGGGATGCTCTTTCCTTTGGCTCGAAAATAAGAAGATTTTGTCCTTACATTAGCTGAGAAACAGCTTTCACGAGTGTAATTGTTCGATGTTAGAAATGTGAAGTTCACGCTTCTGAGTGCATATGTGAGAGCTTCGAAGCTTGGAATAGACAGTCCTAATGAACACAAGCGAAGACCGGTTGATTCTGATCAAGAAGAAAACGCAGGCATTGTCTTCCATTATTTCTAAAATCTTTCAGAACCTTTTAGAATCTTTTGAAATCTTAAAATCATGAAATCTGCTTGTTTCCCCTTGCTCTGGGCTCAATAGTTTGTTTCAAAAATACGTCGGTATATCTCGCATACTCCTATGCGATTGAAACAGAAATTACTGCTTCCTTGTCGAATTCGATTACCACTTTCCACTTGACTGTACCAATTTGCAGAATAAACCATATTTGTATTATTTTTTGCTTTGCGGTTCAATTAGACAAAAAACTCGAAAATAAATTCGACAAGAAAAGATCA